TGCTCGTGTTCTTATTGAAATAATAACATCGTCTGAAATAGAACTAAGTTGTAATGTGATCGTTGTAAATCAAAGACCTTTTATTGTTGACTAACCATCATTATTATTTATTCTTTTTTTTATTAAATATGAATTTTTATTACGACGTCGAAGATGAATAAGGTGAACATAAATTCTCCTAAGAATAACTTATAAAATAGCTTCCGGCTCACGCATTTGTGAATTTTCTTTTAAAAAGCTAAAAATTAATTTAACAAAATAGTTTCAATTTCAGTAACACAAAATTTTATATTAGGTATATTAAGCAGGTACTTACTAAAATAGCTATTTTTCAGAAATGATTTAGTAAATTTTTTTGAGAAATGATTGCTATTAATGAAAATTTTTTTCCATATTCTCAGCATAATGCATCACGGAATTTTAAACTTTGATTTTGAAACTGAGTATTTTAAAAAATTAGTACTTGTTTATAAGTACTATTATTAAATTGTCTTAGTTATAAAATTTAAAACTGTCTTTGTAAATCTTCATCTTCCACACACAAAAAAAAACATTGCATAACTTTTTTTTCTTTTTTTTTTTGTATTTTTTACAATTATTATTTGAGAAAACTATATCACTATTCCAAATAAAAATTTTACACATAAAATTTTCAGAAAAGAATAAGGATTTTTTAAGAATTTGTTGAAGAATTCTTTACGTTTTAATGAGCATTTAAGGTATTCTAGCATTTAGACAATATCCGCCTATGCGACTCTAAAAAATTATATTCGACGCAATTGACTCTTCAATTTTAGAAAATGTTCTTGAGAATATGTTAAATAGTCTTAATAAATATAGTCTTATTTATAATGAATATTTGATGAAACTTCCTATGCAAAACATCGTTACGAAAATTGCTAAGAAAAGCATAAATGAATTACAAATTAATCTCTCTCTCTCTTTATATATTAATTTCTGTTTTTAACAACCAACAACATTTATTTGCAGAGGGGAAAAATTCAAGATATATATAATAAACATCATTTATTATCTATTGAAAAACTATTTATTAAATCTTTTCATAATGATTTATGAGAAAAAAGTGTGCGTAATGTGATTCATAAAAAATAACAATTTATGTATAAGTAACAAATATTGAGAAAATGTTCTCCCTTTAAAGATAATATAGTAGAGGCCCGAAAACTCGGACTAATGTGGATCGAAAAATGGCCGAGTGAATGAAAATAGCGAGTTAACGAGAATGGGATTAAAAAAGAATAAGCACACACACAAGTGTTTCCTCAGAATATACGACACATCACTTCTATGTATTGTTTGCTTGGGAATACCACAGAAAACAAACTACTCAAATATATCTTTAACAAAGGAAAAGTACATACTTGATGAAGGCATCTAGCATTTATAACATGAAAATGAAAATTAATGAATACATGGTATACAGTAATTTACCATCTCAGAAAAATACTTAATGAAGGCTCAAAAATGTCTTTAATGAAAATTAAGTAGCCTACCTTGCTAAAATTGGCTACTTTTTTCTAAAGCAATGCATAATGCCCTATAGTCAGTCTTCCGTACGGCACTCTGCGTTTTACTGCCTCATCACAAAGACAACGAAGGAACAGGAAGTGCATTAAAGACGCACCTTGTTCAAAATACTGAATTGTGGTTTCGATAGCCAATAGCCCAACACATTATGGAGTTTTAGGAGTTTGTACGGAGTCCTCAACCTTAAAGTCTCTATCACTTTCCGGGCATTTCTTTATTAACTGTGACAGCAGCAATAATTTCTGGATCAGACAATGACTTGCTCGGTATTGCTCCAGAAAGGTTCTGCAAGGGGAGGATTTTCGCGCTACAAAAGTGTAGCCCAGCTATCTGGACTGCCGGGTTATCGAATGCCGAGTTTTCGGGACTCTATTGTATTGCATATATCAGGACTGAGATTCCTTTAACAGCTTAAATCGAGTTAAGTTTTAATTTTAACGAGTCAACGAATAAATATAATTAATATTGTTAATTAACTTCAAAAACATGGTTTCTCGTTGTTGATGCCCTTTCTCTCATGCATTTAATTTCTTGTTAAGAAAATTTAATTTTCAAATTTCATAAGTTTTGAATAGTGGAAGTTTAAGAAAAGGGGGCTCAGAACATGAAATCATGGAGTCTAACAAAGGACGATATAACCTTTTTATTCAACAATTTTAAGAAGTTTACACTAAACGATTGATATATTTTCTAATTTTAAAGATATAGAAAATTCTGAGTAATGAGCTTTTAGTTTTGAAAATATAATATAAATTGCGATAGAATAAAAATATAAGATTCAGTACATGAAAAGTGTAGAATATATACTCTAAACGTAGGTAATTCCCATACTTTATTGAAATACGAATAATCGGTAATAGTTATATAGAACAATAAGGTTATTTAAGTCGAAAAATACACACAAATAAGTAATATAAAAAAATTTTAAGTCACTTCCTACTTAGGTCAACAAAGAAAAATTGTATTTTAGTTACTTTTTATTAAAAAAATACAATTAATATAAATATGTATATACATATGACAAAATCACAAAATTAAGTGACAATATAGAAAGCGCTTTTCCTTTCTATGTATAGTATTGGACTATTATTTATGTTTGTTACTATTTATTCATTAATTAAATTTAAATATTTCAATAAAATACACTGATGAAATAAATTAAGAGAATTTGCATATTTTATCGAATTGCATGAAATAACTGAATTGAATAAAAAACCACTGCTTCTAGATAAAAATGCAAATCTTGAACGGCAATTACGTAAGCGTACATGTATTTGTAGGCGGAGCAAGCAGAAAAACAGACTTTATAAGCGCATGTAAGTTAAGACGTATTTCGTTCGCATGCCCACCTAGGCAAATTTCTTGGTGTTATTTTGAAAAACAATCGGCTCAGTTCAAATTATAACAGTAAAAATGAGTAACCACCAACTTTTAGATGATGGGATGAGATGGCGTATTGTAGAGAGGCTAGAAGCAGGCAAATGTCAAGTCCAGATAGTGAGAGAATTCAATTTAACTACCAGGGTTGTGTGTAGCTTATGGAAACAGATCCAGGATGCTCGATTCATCGAGAGAAAGCCTGTATAAGGTCATCCAAAAGCCACGACGGCTAGAGAAGATCGACATTTGTCGATTATAGCGAGGTGTAACGGAGAGTATACAGCTTCTCAGCTCTCTCATTACTTGTATGCAGCTACAGGAACCCGTGTATCAAGAATGACTGTTTTAGAAAGACTTAATGAGAGATGATTGGTTGCCAGAAAACCTTATATTTGCGTCCCACTCACATATACGAACAGGAGAGTCCATTTAGCATGGTGTAGACACAGAGCCGGCTCAAGCAGTTTTGCCATCCCGGACGAAAAGGGAAAATGCCGCCCCTCTCTCCAAAGCAAAACATTATGTGTGTGTGTGTGTGTTGTGTGTGTAAAAAGTCTTAAAAAATGCAAAATAGTTTGAAGTTAAGAACATAATTAACTGTTATTATTTCAAACGAGTAAAATGTAAGAAAAGAAAAAAATATCCCATTTCCACTGGCCAATTTCTTCAAAAATGAGTCCATGGTGGGTTTACAAGCGTTTATTTTAAAGTATAGTAAATAACCTCAAGACTAAAATAAAACATCTCCTGTGGTTCTCTATCTACCAAAACCTCTTATTACACCAGTCCCATTTTGGATAGCTGACACCAGACATCCTATGAGTGAAAAGAATGTTCGTTTTGTCCCCACTCCGGGATGGGAAGAAAGTTACTAATAAAAGTTGAATAAACATATCAAATTTCATGCTTTAACATATACTTCTACCCCGAACCTTTAGTTTCTATATAAAAGAAAGCTGACATTAAACATACAAAGTACAAAATAAGGAAATAAGATACGTTCAATGAAATACCAGATTCACAAATAATAATATTTCAGAAAATATATCAAATTTTTTGTAGCATAAAAAAAAATTACAATTTCGATCCAAATGCTGTCCTAAAAATTTGCCGCCCCGGGCAGAAGTCCGGCGCTAGAGCCACCCCTGTGTAGACAAGATAGAGATGGCAACCGTTTTGTTCATCGATGAATCCCGTTTTAGCATAAACATCGATTCTTGCCTTACGTTCGTATGGAGAGAACCAGGGACCCTCTACCTACCCTCCAATGTCCGCGAAATCGACAATTATGGCGGAGGAGGTTTTATGGTCTGTGCAGACATCATGTTGGATGGCCGTAGATCTCTCAATGTCTTTGAAAGAGGCTCTGTGACTGGTGTGAGGTGTAGTGATGAGGTCTTGGAGCCCTGTGTTTACCTTTTCAGAGGTGCATGTGGCCCCAAATTCATTTTAGGAGACGACAACGCGAGGCCACATAGAGCTCTTCTTGTCGACGAATTTCTAAAGAATGAGGATATTCACCGTATGGATTGGCCAGCGAGGTCTCCATACCCTCTGTCATGTTCTGGGGAGGGCAATTGCAATTCGCAGCATCCCTCCGAGAACCATCCAGGAAATGAAAACAGCGTTGCTTAACAAGTGTAACCAATTGACACAAGAACTGATAAACTGCCTTTTTTCAAGTATGACATAACGCTGCGAGGCCTGTATAGCTGTAAGAGGGGGCCATACCTCCTATTAACCCATTTATTTGTGTATTCTGCAACCACTGTTTCATACCTTTCAACTCCAACGAGTGTTACGCATGATCACGCGTGTGTATTGCAATTGTTCAATGGTTATTTGTTTTGTATTGTATCAAATGGTTATTTGTTTTGTATTGTATCAAATGGTTATTTGTTTTGTATTGTATCAAATGGTTATTTGTTTTGTACTGTATCAATGTATATACATATCAAATTTCATCAAAATCTGTCCAGTAGCTCTAGAGAAATCGACCAAGTCTGCAAATTATCTTAATTTCTTACACCAGTGTAGTATAGTAAAAAGAAATCACATTCTCAAAAATCAGACCGTGCTAGGTGGGATTCAAACCCACAACCTTTGAATTATAAGTCCAATGCGCTATCAATTGCGATTTATGGACTCAACGAGTGGTTTTCATTTTTATATGTAGTGTTAGACTATTATTTTTGTTTGTTACTATTTATTCATTAGTTAAATAGAATTAATGAATAAATGTTTGAAAAAAACTGTATTAACATCAAGTGTCAACCACTACAAGTTTTAAAAAATGTATTTGAAATTAGATGAATAAAAAGTATTTTATTAACTATTGAAAATTTGAAAAAGATCTACACAGTGCAGGAAATAAGTTTTAAGACTTTGTCCGTAAAAAGAAATAGAAACAAGAAATTAATTCCTGTTTTGGTTTTATATTCAAAATAGGACTCTCCGGCTTCAATGCTCTTGTTACAGTGATTTATTAAGGAATCGAACGCCTGTTGTAAATCACTTTTTCGAATGGTCTACAAAGCATGCGTCGAAGCTACTTGTACGGTCAAAATATCCTCAAAATAACACCCTTTTAATTTCCTCTTAAATTTTGGAAGGAAGAAGAAGTCACGGGGTGTTAAATCAGGTGAATACGGTGGATGGTTCAACGCACAGACATTATTTTTTGCCCAAAATCAACGAACAACAAGGAAGGTGCCACTGGGTGCATTGTCGCGTAACAAACCTCAACCGCTTTCTGTCCGATATTCTGGACGAATGCGACAAATTCTGGCCATCAAAAGCTTTAAAACAGCTAAGTAGTACTGACCTGTTTCTTCAACTAGAAGAAATTCTTTGTGGATAATACCCCTAGCATCGAAGAATGCCATAAGCTTTATTTTATTTTGTATGGAATTTTTCTTGTTTTTTTGGCTTGCGGTGAATTTTCTGACTTTCATTCCGCACTTTGTTTCAGTCGTATTGGAAACACTTGGTTTCATCACCTGTAACAATGGACTTCAAAAAGTTTGGATCGTTTTCAGCGGCTAAAATGATATCTCTGCAATGTACACTTCTCATTGCTTTTTGTTCAGGAGATAAAGTGTGTAGAACACATCTAGCTCACACTTTTGTTTTGCTCAAATTTTCATACAGAATGATTCGAATTGCTTCTTTGTTGATGTTTAAGGAGTCTGCCATCATTCTTAATGACGCACAGCGATCGTTTAACACGAAATTTCGATCTTTCTCAATAATTCCAGGTGTTCTAGATGAAAGTGATCTTCCACTACGCTGATCATCTACTACCGTATCACTTCCATCCAAAAACCGTTTGTGCCACACAAAACCGTTTGATCTACTTAAACAACAGTCACCGTAAATTTGTTTCATGAGTTGGTTTGTTTCCGAAGCACTTCTACCAAGTTTTGCATGAAATTTGATTGCAGTTCTTTGTTCTATCTTCAAAAATCAACTTTAAAAAATTCACTTCTGCAATAAATGCTTGTTTTTTCATAGCTACTTAACTACTTGCATACAACATTGTAAGGCAAGTTGTGACGAATCTATACGGAACTTTATCACTAACCTTCTCAGTCGACCTTTTTAGGGAAATTTAATTCCCTACCTATTTCCAATCAACTCCAAAAAGCGGACAGGATTCCTTGTTATGCAGATTAGATTAAGTATTTAAGTCAAACGAAATAGTAAAGTTAGAGCAGTAGGAGAGAGAGATTGAAGCAGGAAGTTATCGTGGATTTAAATTGAAGATTTCTTGTTAGAGATATTTAATCTCAAGAATTGAGATTCCGAGTGGTAACTATTGATTTGTATTTAAAGTCTCATTAAAGTTTTAGGAGTGAGATTAAAGTTAAATGTTCAATAAGAACATTATTAAATATAATTCTGGGATCTCTTATCGTGGTAATCTCTGCGTGATCGTTATTTAATGTTTAATTAATGAGATCATTAATTAAGTTAATTTAAAGGATATTATCTTTAAAACCTCATAATACTATTTAAATAAAGTTGTTAATAAGTCTTTGATTCTATTTGGATAAGATAACCAAATAAAGAAAGTTGTTTATAAAAATGGCTACTGGTTCTTACATGACTCCTATTTATTCTCGTTCTCAAAGTGAGGTCCTAGGAGACCTTCACAAAGTGCCCGTGGGGGTTGCCCTACTTCTACATTATCCTCGTGACCTAGAGGTGTGGGAGTGAATGAAGAGCCAGACGTTGCCGTAATCTTAATATCTCTTTATTAAACTTAAACATTCTACAATAATAATATTAGTATTCAAACCAAGTGAATCTTGGGTGAGGAGACACACAATGCGTATTACCAAATAATCGCGTAACTGACCCCTTTGTATAACTTTACCGACTAATCCTAATCTCAATAAATACACAGTTCCTAGTAGTTTAATTAAATGGTCTTACCGCTCTATCTTGGGTAAGCAGCAATTCGTTTGAATCCTAACTGACGTGGTGGTTATATTTAGGGAGAGTGTGAACTAATAGTAGAAATTGAAGAATAAAAAGAGAGAATATTTAGATGATATACTTCGGTGATCTCCAATATCTGGTCCGCGTACCGGTACCGGTCCGAGGATAAAATGGTATCGGGCAGAACAAGGAATATAAGTTATTTCTACTTTATTTACTACGATGTATTTCTCTCCGGTTTGTGCGACTTTTTATGAAAATAGCAATATTCCATGTTATATCCCTTTATATTCCGTGTTAGATCTCTTTATATTCATTTTTGGTATAACTGCATTTTATTCTGAAGTCAGGTTTAAATAAAGTTAAATTAAAATAATTAAATCAAAAAATTTTGAAGTATAAAAAAATCAACGTCCCCCTCCCCCTCAGTGGGCAGCGATGCAATGGTTCGGGAGCACTGATATACTTCTCTCTCTCTCTCTCATCAACCGGTATATATTAACGAAATATAAATTATTTTAAATTTAACTTTAATTTATAATGTCCAATTAAGTTGAATAATTTAAAAATATAGATATTTCCTTTGAAAAGATTCATTTCTTAATGAAAACATGTACTCAAAAATGTACCGATGAAATATGTTATTTGCAAATGATTATTTTTATTTGGAAGAGAAAAACTGAAAACGACGAAATATGAAAAGACATTTCTCTGAGTATAATTAGTTATACATAAAAGTGTTTCAAAATTGCAATTATCTAAATTTGAATTCGAAAATCCAAAAGCAATTTACTTCCGAACTCAAATTAAAAACTAATTCAATTGCAAAACATTTATGTAGAGTTAGTTACATTCTAATCAAAGGCTCGCTTTAAGAAAACTTTTATTATAATTGAAAGTTAAAATTAATTGCTCTTCGCAATTTATTTACGACAAAGTTTATTTACTTTATCAACATTTTTTTTATTTTAAAACATTGAATTTGCTCTCTTGGGAATTTAAATACTCTTTAATATATTTAATTTTATATAGGCAACCATATTACTCTTAATAAATGCATCCTATGTTTCAAGTAAAGTGGGAAAAAAATCATTCTAGCATGAGGAATTATCAATTAATTTCATTAATTAAGTTTTTATATCTGTTTGATATAGAGTTTAGAACTATAATTGATTTGTTCTTCATTTTTCATACATTCCCATTTGTCATAAATAATATGATCTATAAGGGAAAAAATATTTTAAGTGCATGAAAAAAATGTCCGAAATTAAGATTTTTTGTCATAAAGCTGAGTAATCAGATTATAAGTAATTGGATTACCGTTAAAACACTCACACACATACCACATTGACTATTACTACTATTGTATATACATATATGATAATTCTATGATATTTCTGGAAGATTGGTAATAATATTTGTAAGACGGGGCGAGTGGATGTTATTTTCTGTAGCGAGCCAAAGATAGGGCGTGGCCGGTGTTGAGTGATTCCTGTATGTTAAATGCATTTTCTATGGAAAGATCGACGAGGCAGTCTGGTAGATTAGTAAATCCAATTTATTGAATATCTTGAAACACTTAGGCGTATTAATTATG